GAAAGCAGAATTTCTGAAGTGGATGAGAAATGTTCTTTATTTGGAAAAGGTCTACATTCCTCAATATTTGAAAATTGGTCATTAGGATGAAAAATATTCTTTACATTTTTTGAGTAGAAACTAGTGAATGGGTTAAGGTACATTTGTTAAAGTGCTAAATTCAGAGTTTCCTCAACTAGAAAGAAAAAAAAAAAAAAAAAAAAAAAAAAAAAAAACTATTGCTAGATTAGATTTATTAGTAGCTAGTCACCTTGCCTCTACAATTGTGTCTAAGATTCCACATGAAAATTACTTTTGGGCAGACTCTACTTTGTGCTTACTTGGGTTAAAAGAAAAGAGACATGGCTAACCTCTGTTCAAAATTGAATATCCGAAACCAGGCTTCCAAAGAGAAATGGAGGTGTGCCAGTATCATTAAACTCTGCTGATCTTCCAAGCAGAGGTGTTTTGTGATGAAAATGATACAGTGAAGATGGTGGGAGAGCCCTGGTTGGTTATTTTATCTACTGAGAAATGGCCTTCTTCAGAATTTGTTCTGAATAAAGAACAGTTAAGGTTTTTTTTTTTTTTTAAGAAAAGTTTTTAAAGTTGTCGGAAAACTGTTGTTTCATCTTCAACTACCCGCTTAACTACTCAGATAAAAAGAGTAAATGCTAATTGGTACTATCAATACTTTTCACAGTATGAGAAAATTGTATACGATTTGCTGGATTTTGAGATTTCTGGAAAATTGTAGAAAATCAAAAGAATTAAGAAATTAAGGATTCTGGATGCAGAAGAATTTTCAGAAGCTGAGAAAAGAGTTATAAAGATCATTCAATGAGAAGTATTCTTAGACGAGAAGGCTAAAAAATTGGGAACACTAAGGCCTATATCACACATGCATTTGTCTCACACGAACAACTATTTCAGAAAGTTTTTCTGCTTGGTTTACTATTGAAAGAAGGACACATGATTTTTTTCTTTCCTTTTGAAAAAATTGAGCATGCTTCATTTTCACCAATCAGCTATTGGCTTTGAACATTATCAGCTTGATTGTAATGGAGAACCAGTTTTCCCTGTGTTAAACCCCAAAGTGATCTGTGGTGATTAGCTGTTGTGACAAAGCAAAAAAATTGTTCCAAATAGTTGTTCTTCTGAAACAAACAGGTGTGTGATAGCAATCTAAAAGAGTACAAAAATGAAGATGATCTCCTCAGTTTAAGAGCAAAAATTATCTGTTGAGAAGACAACCAACCTTTTACAAGACCCGTGATTTCCTTTCTCAACACCAAGTAGTAAAACTTTTAAGATTTTCTTTTCATAAAGGGTATGGACAAGTTGGGACTAAAATGTTTCTTAATCTTCTGAGGAAACATTTCTTAATCTTAAATGGAAGAAAAACTGTGAGATCAATTACCTCAAAATGTGTTACATGTTAGAGACTTCTGGAAAGGCTTAGATGTAGATACAGTCCCATTATCAAAGACTGTATTCAAGTTGCTGCAGTGTTTGAAATCGTGGGAGTAGATTTAGAAAGTCCATTGTATTTGAAAGGTCTAAAGAAGACTTGGGTTTGTCTCTTTACTTGTATGGTTTATCTAGCTGTACATGTTGAGCTTGTGTTGAATATTTCGAATGATACTTTTTTGTTGGCCCTCCATAGATTTGTGGCAAGGGGAGGTAGATGCAAAGTAATGTACTTTGACAATGGTACCAATTTTCTGGAAGCTGATAATTTGATAAAAACTTTGGACTTGGACCAAATCATCAGGATTAGAACTGTGAATTGCATTCAGTAAAAAATTCAATCCTCCTACTGCCTCCTGGTGAGAATGCTTGATTTATGGCATAAAATTTATTAAAGAGAGTGATAGAGAAGTTTAAAATATCAACTCGCACTCCAGAAAGATTTTAGGAAAAGATTCAAGTCAGATTGTATACTTAGATTCGTTAATTCAGAGACTTGAACTGCAGAAGTGGTTAATAATATCTGTGAGAGACGTCATTCTTATAGGCAGTGACAATCAGAAATGCATTAATTGGCCCCTAGGATGAGTAACGAAAATTATTCCTGAAAAAGAAGGAATTGCCTGGCTCATGAAACTTCGAGTATGAGGAGCCTGTGGAGAATGAATGATACTGTTTCAACGGCTATTTCTGCTAGAGATTACCTGTGAAATGGCTAAGGATATTCAGGTTAAAGTGCAAAGAAAGCAAGTATCTCATTCTGAAGTATTCCAGGCACAAATGGTAGGCCTTGCAGAACCCATCCAATGAACTGTGAAAACCTGATGTGGAAGAGATATGAAAGTGCCAGAAAGAGTTCACTTGTAATGCGATTGTTACTGCATTGTGAAGTCTCCCAATTTAAGATGGGAGGATGAAGAAACTGAGTGTTAAATTTATATATGCATATTTTTGTCAGTGTAACTACACATGTTTAATGCTTGTAACTTTGTAATTCTGAATTTGGCAGGGAAAAAAAAAAAAAAAATCAAATTTAACAATAAAATTGTCTTAAATTCATAGTTAGATGTTTTAAATTGTAAACTTTGTAATTATTATTGTGGCAAAGAATAAAAAGAGTGTCATTTTAATAGTTTTCACTTGATTTGACTATTTATAATATCAATTTGCAGTTGAATTTTGATACTGGTATCCGACAATTATTATAATTTTGCTTCTTGGCTTATTTGCCTTAGCCACTTGAGTGGTTAAGACCTCTAAATATTGGTAGTTAGACCTAGGTTCAAGTCCAGGCAAATGGGCTGGCTGCATGATTTGTTTTCATGATTTTCCCTCTGTGTAACATGAATATTATCCAGTTCTCTTAAAAAGTAATCCACAAAGATATTCCTTTTCTTAGGCAGATAGCCCCTGTGTGCTTTGCAGTCTTTTAATAAGGTAACCCATTACTGGTTTTAACATTTTTGCCAGGCTATAGAATTCACATTTTACATTTTGAAATGATAAAATTCAAGATACAAATTTCTGTTTCAAAACTAAAATGAAATAAAAGAATTTTGAAATTAACTCATTATCAGTTCAATCAAATGTTAAAACAATTATAAGTACCTAGTATTATTTCAATTTATTCTCGGGAAACAATATTCTTTTTTCATTTACATTTTGTATAAATTATGTAGGTAGAAAAATTCTTGTAGATGCCTCTTTGGAAAGAAAAAAAATGTATTTCATTAAAAAATAAATGAGTTTTACATATTCACATTGCTAAACGTGAATAAATACTTATTAAATAAAAATACTGACATTGAAATTCAGGAATGATTTCTCTGCATGTAAAAATCAACTATTGATATTAAAATCAGACTTGCACATCACATTTAGGAGTTTCTTGAAGACATGTTCTTAACAGTTTGATGAAAATACTTAAATTTATTACAAGGACATTGCATTTTAACTAATATATATTTTCCAATAAATATTTGTTACTATTTATCATTTTTTAAAATTTTAAATAAATGCATATTTTGATTGTACTTCCTTTTTAACCATCTGAACAGCCCAGGTTTTTGGATGTCATAAAGATCTATATTTAAAGGGCCTTTATTAGCTAAATATGTATATATTTAGCAACATGTATTATATTCATAATGAAATGCTGGAAAATTTAGTGTTTTTGAGGCGGGATGGCTGTTATATTAGCCTTAGTGTTATGTGTCAGGAAGGATGGGCATGTCTGCTTTAGTGGCCATGTTGTTTTCCCCTGTTTTCTAAGCTGAAAGGGTAGGCTGGACAGTATGTCCCTGGGTTCTTAACCACTTATGACATACAAAGGTCTTTGTGTTAAGAATCTGGTTTTCCATCATTCTTGTTTAATTTTTTGTACGTTCAGAATTCAGGATAAGCTCATAAATAATCATAAGGAGAGCAACTGTTTCTTGCATTTCTTTGGAATACTCTATATCTTTGCAAGATTTCTCCGAGTTATTTTTATTTATTTATTTATTTTTTTTTTTTTTTTGACTTTATTTTATAGCAGTATGTCAAACTGAAAAAGAATGTTGACTGAAAAAGAAATATGAAAGTTCTACAAGAGTTTGTGAAATGTTAATTTATGTAACATCATAAAGCATAGGATCATAATACAAGGTATTGAAGACAGCAATTATCTATGTAGTTACTTTTCCCCATTCTCTTGAAAATTGTACACAAATCACAATCTTCCCCATCTAATTTGAAAGCTTTTTGCTATAAAAAATTTGCAATATGAAATATACAAACAGTATGTAGTACAAGTAATATTTGAACTTAACACTGCATATTTTAAATTCATTCTTAAGCATTACATTTTCATGCACATTTTTAACATTTATTTTGACTTGATAAATAACTTTTCTGTTTAGTGCAACATTTGCATGGTGTTTTTTCATTTACAAAGCCATGAATGTTTGTAAATTTAATAGAATATGTTCATGGAATCAATGGGTGAAAAATTCAAATGTATTAAAAAAAGGAGATGGAGACCTGTTAAATCAAAAAGGCTAAAAATACCAATAAAATAAGAAAATATGGAAGAATTTTATAACATAACTTTAAAATAAAAATTTGATAAAATTAATTATTTTAATACTTTATAAAGGCAATTAAATTGGTATGATTCATTAAAATCATTATTTAAAAACTTAGTTTTTTTTAAAGATGTGTGGTGTTAAAAGAAAGCTATGTGCTATATAATGAAACAATAGAAGAAAATTTTATAATGGAAATATGCATTCTCTTCTGTGTATCGCTGAATAGTCTGATTTGGAATCAAGTGCACTTTAAATTTTTCCTCTGTAAGGAAAAGCATCTAGTAATTTAATCAATAAATCCTATATTTCCTTTATTTTTGTTAATACACCTCTTTAAGAAAATGCCTAAAAGTCTGTTGTTGCAAATAGCAAGGAACTTCTTGAAAGGAGGGAAAGCATAAGGTACAAAAAATCCTGTCTTTTTAAGCATCTTGTGGGTGTCAAATCCCAAACTTAAAAAGATTAATATATTTATATGTTCATTCCAGATTGATGTATAATAATTTTTTTTTGCAGCGTTTAAGTTCTGATGCAGCCCAAATTTTTCATGACACAGCTGGATGGAAATGCCTTGAAACAAGTATGAAGTAAGTACTGCAGGAAAGAAATATTAAAAATTCTGATAAAGTTGTATGTGTGTGTAACTAGAGTTTTGAATTAAAGAGCATGTTCAAGTACTTAAAAATTAATGTACTGCATAAATCTTGGAATAAATACATCCATTCTTATGAACTAACATATCTTGATAAACTGCCAGATTCTTGCAAGCATTCAACAAATATTGAAACTGTATCAAATTCTTCTAGGAAGGGTATATGTTCTTTCTCTTTTTGTTAATGATCCTTTCTGAAGGATGGCTTAGAGAAGAGGTGGATGGCTTTTTTTTTTTTTTTTTTTTTTTTTTTCAAAATAAACTTAAGGCCAGTGAGAGAGTGTGTATCTGCATTGCACTTTTTCATGGTAATAATTTTCACGTAGAAAGTTCTCAAAACAATGTTTGTTCATTTTTTGTTAATTTTCACATAGAAAGTTCCCACACAATGTTTGTTCATTTTTTGTTAATTTTTACTCCATTTTGTATCGTGTATTAACTAGATTTTTCAAAAACTTAAACAGAAGCAATCCATTATTTTCAAGTGTGTGGTATTATATGCCCCCAAAAATGGTAAGAGTTCTCTGCAGTAAAACTGAATATGAAGGAAAATATATGATGGAAATGTTTAGAATGTGTAGAATGTGTTTAGAATGTTTAATAGTGTTAGAATAAGCACTGGGGATTGCTTCATAAGAAGCTACTTTCCTTTCACTTAACAGAGTTTATATGAAAGCAAATATTAATTGTGTAAAATAAGTCTGATCTGATTGCCAAGTAGCACCCATCTAAAATCAAAAAACTTTTTATTCATCTGCTGATATCAAAATGATTTAATCTTTTTTTTTTAAAAAAAGTGAAGTTGAGGAAAGTCAGGGATGAACAAGCGCAAGTAAAGTTAATAATTTCCCCTTTACATTTTTTAGGAATCCAATTTTTATTTTAATTGCCTCATCCAGTGAATTTTATTCAAGGCGGGGATGCTAAGTTAATGCTGTGCTTTTCTGCCATTAGGTGTTATTGTAGATGCTTGTATATTTTGATTTCATTCTATTTTTTGATGTTCTTGCTTGTTATTAAATGTATTTTTATGTATTTAGATGTTATATTTATTTTTAAAAGTATGTCATGTGATCAACATTAACATGCTATACTTATTTTCAAAAGTATTTCATGTGATCAACAGAAACGTATTTAGCTGTTATATTTGTTGTCAGCCAGACAAGGAATGTTTGCTGTGTTCATTGCATTTTTTCATTTAAAAGTCTGGTACTTTTTTATTACTGGCATCTCCACTTTGCCAATTTTGGAACTTTTGAGAGAAATGTTTGTTGTTTGCATCTATTTCAATAATGGATCACAATTGTTTTGCATCCTCATTTTTCTTTACAAGACTCATTCACTTTTTGGTGTTTTGCACTTGTGTTCTTCCCATGTATACATAGTAACTTGTTTTTGGTTTAAAAAAAAAAAAAAAAAAAATGAGAATTGCAAAAACCCCAGCATCATGCTCAACTTTAGCATCAAAATCCTAAAATGAGGATGGAAAAGAGCCGCATGTTGCTCAAGTTAGCCACGTTATCTTCTCTATATGCAAAAAGCTTAAGTCTGAGATTTCACTGAAAACTGCAGAAGTGGCCTATTGCTACGCTAAAATACTGAAATTCCCATAAGAGGGTTCATAATCTGCAGTCACACTGGTGAAAATTTCCAGAGAAATGGAAAGCCATCCAGAAAAATACTTCAAAACAAATCCATCCAAAAAATGAATGTGGATTAGATGAGATGCTTTTGCATTTTTAAACAGTTGCAAATTGCTGGAGTTCCATTTTACCCCATTATTTCATTTCTTTATCCCATTTACTTATATTTTTCTGTGGTCAGAAATTGAGCTAATATTTACAATTTGCCTAATATATTTCTATGTGTATATTTTGTTAATTTCACTAGCTACATGAAATGAATGTATAATCTAATTGTTGAATGATAATTCTAGACAATTTGTTTAATACTTTATCATTGCATAAGTATGTGTATCATATATGTTAAAAGGTGTGGAGTAGATATACTAGAGGGGAGGTAGAAATTTTTGCATTTGCTAATTTTTAAGTGTGATCCTAATTAAAAAAATTCATTAAAGGACAGCTAGTTATTTGAACAAGGTAATCCTTTTAAAGAAGTCCCATTTCAGATTAAAAATATGGGTGTCCGCCGATAACATCGCGGCAAAAACATCGCAGACGAAAACAATGCAAGGAGAAAACGTTGTGCTACAAAACATCGTGGGAGAAAACATCGCAAAGAGAAAACATCGCAGTTCTAAAACATCGTGGTACAAAACATTGTCGTCGAAAATAAAGCTGTTAAAAAACTTCGCAGTTTAAAAACATCGTCGTTGAAAATATCGTGGTAAAAAATAAAGTATCTACAAATCATCGCATGACGATAACATCGCAGACATTTTTTTTCAGGTTTTAATAATTGGAAATGGATATTACCATAATGATTTGTGAGCGCAAGATGTAGAGAAGGATAATTTTTACTTTCACATTTTTTAAATAACTAATAAATTTTTGCTGAAAAAGTAAGAAGGAAACTTAAGCATAGATAATTAAATGCAACTTATAGCTTATACTTTTCATGAAAAATTACCAGTAAAAGCATTACAAAAATTATTTATTAATGGCCTTTGCTAGTTAACTATGTCGGTTTAAAATTCGATTAAGTGCTATAAGTTGCATTAATTTTCCATGCTTAAGTTTCCTTCTTATTTTCTCAACAAAAATTTATTAGTTAATAAAAAAATATGAAAGTAAAAATTATCCTTCTTTCCATCTTGCGCTCACAAAACATTATGGGAATATAAATTTACAGTTATTAAAGAATGTCTGCGAAAGCATGTCTGAAAAAGGCATATCTGCGATGTTATCGTCATGCGACAATTTGTAGATACTTTATTTTTTACCACGATATTTTCGACGACGATGTTTTTAAACTGCGAAGTTTTTGAACCGCTTTATTTTCGACGACGATGTTTTGTACCATGATGTTTTCGGACTGCGATGTTTTCTCCCACGATGTTTTGTAGCACGATGTTTTTGCCTTGCGTTGTTTTCTCCGCGATGTTTCCGGCTGTAACCAAAAATATTAATCATCTCTGTAATAAATGTTCATTAATCATCTCTGTAATAAATGTTTTGTTCTTGTTTTGTAGCATCTAAATATTACATTAAATAACTTGACTTCAGTTCTGATCTCCATTAATAGAGACTATTCATTGCCAGAAATCTAATGTTATCATTAAGTTACTAATGCACTGCATAGTATATCATTATATTAGTAATATAAGTAAAACTATTGATGAAAAAGAAAAAGTTATGAATCATGAGGCAACTAATCAAAAAACATATTTTCAGTGTTTGATAACAAAATGCAGTTACGAGTTTATAATTTTGGGTACTTATGTATTTTCCAATCAGCTGTGAAAATTGGTAAAAGTATTTTTGTGGATGTTTTTAAGGAACAGAACAATCACTCTTTGTTAGTTAAAACAGTATAACCAGTTCTATTAATTTGGAGATACTTCACTACTTGTTCTGTAGAAAATATGTCCCATACTTTAATCATTTTTTAACATGCTAGGGAAAAATTGAGAAATTGCAGTTAATTTATGTTTTTCTGTACAAAAACTAATCTGGTGTCTTGAGAATCAGGGTTACGTAAAACAAAAGCAAAGATCTTATGTGTTGGGGCATCAAACTTATCCATTATGTTGCTAAATTGCACTGTTTAGTGACAATTTTTATTCACCAAGAATAGTCATTGAGAAAATATGCAAGTACCATGTTTTGAATGTTGTCAAAATTTTGCATTTTACTATAAGGAATTAAACAAATTAGTAAAAATGTTTGTACTTTCCACTGGCTCTGCTACTTTTTGTTCATTTAAGCAAATAAGCATTTAATAATGACAAGCAAGTATAGCTAATAGAACCTAAAGCTGTCATTAAAGAATTCGGCAGGATTATCAAAATGTCACTGTAAAAATTTTTTGTACCCCCTAAAAAAATTTAATAATAATAACTTAAGAAATTGTGAGCGAGGATAATCAGTATGTATCAAAATATTTCTTAACTTGTTCAATTTTGACTTATAGAAGGTGAACTTCATTGTTTTTGCTATTATTGAAGCTTTAAAAATAGTGAAATAAATTTTGCAAGTTTGTGTTGACTTTTGTTTTGTTTCCAAATTATGATTTATATTTTATCAGGCCTCGTTTATTATCACCTTTTTCATTTTATTTGTTCAAAACAATTTACCTATTCATTTATATGCCAAAGGCCTAATTTTTTCTCTTTATAGTATTCTATATTGTATTTGTTATGTTGTAGTTGACAAAACTTAATATGGATTTTTAAAGGTGTCTTCAGTTTATGGTTGATGGCTGTGGAGAGAATTTTAAACCTTTTATTACGAATGATTTCTTAGAGCTTCTTTTCCAAACTTTGTCACACACTAATAGATTTGTGAGAGAAACTGGATACTATGTTCTAGGCTCATTAGTTAGCTGTGGAACATCTTGTAAAGGTTAGTACCTCTAAACGTAGCTTCATATTAAATTATGTTAAAAGTGATTACATATCTGTACTACTTGAAATGCTTGAAATTTGTTAAATTATTCGTTTATTGCTTTATTTAAGTGAAAATATCTATTTCACTTTTTATTTAGTGATAAAAATTAGCATTAAATTTCAGGAAAATTAATTTTATATATTGATTTCCTTTTTGTCAGTTTAAGTGCATTTAAGATACATTGCTTCCTTTTGAAGTTGGTGAGAAGTTCATATGAATGTTGTTGTAGTGAATTTGAATGCTTTTGATAATAAAATGTATGAAACAGTTCTCTTTTAAGTTATGCACATTATGTCAGTACTCTTTCTTTGTAGGAAGTGCTTACAACCCATTTGCTGCTGAACATTTTGGACATCACATAAGCAAACAACTTGGCATTGGACTTAGCGATAACTGGAGTCAAGTACATTTTCCATTTTCCTTTAAAGGCTTTCCCCCTCCCTTTTCTTTCTTTCTTTCTTTCTTTTTTTTTCTTTTTTTTTAATTTTGTGTGTAATTATTGATTATGTTATAGGTGAGGCTTGCATCTTCAGAGTGTGCTCGTAAATTTCTCCTCTCCTTTGAATCTGAGGAGGAGAGAGAAGTCTTTTTCCCTGAACTATTGCCAAAAATGTGTTTGAACAGGTAATTGTTGTCTTATTGTTAAATGTTCCTTGTAGATTGTTTTTTATCAGAATCAATTTGATTCCTATAGTAGAACCATATGTAAAGACACTTTTTTGAATAATTTTCTTAAACTGAAAATGTATATTATTGTGACATTATAAATAATTAGTTTGTACGATAAATACTTGACCATTTTATTAAGTTTTAAAAAAGTACAAAAACAAATTATAATTTAATATTTATTATCATTATCAAAGAGTATACAGTCAAAAGTCTTTAATCGGGACTCATCGGGACTTCGGCTATTCCGAATTATCGGTTTTTCCAGATTATAGATCATCAATATAAATCTGGTTAAGATGGCATACAGAAATTATGAAATTAAAAATCTGAAACCGTAATTTATGAAATAAAGAGCAGTTATGATCTAAAGGGTATCAAAGTTTACCAAAAAAAAAAAGCTTAATATTTATTTGTTTACTTTATTAAACATTTTTTCAACACTCACATGCGTAAAGCATACATTACGCATAGCAAAAATTAGAAAATTGTAACCAGAAAACTGATGTGTATTCGAGATATATATAATGACGAGGAATTTGATTTAAATCATATCAAAAACGGAGAATATAGAGATGAAATACTACATTTAATAAGGAATTATAAGCCAAATAAAATAAAAACATCTGCCCTGAAGATAAGGATAGTGCTGACAGATCAACTTCCAATTCATTGGGCGCTGCGACGTCACCCCCCCCCCCCTGGCAGAGCAGCGTGAAATTGATAAACAGATTACAGATTTCGGAATGGTTAGAGAAACAAAGGATATGCCTTTATCCATTTTTTGCAATAATTCCACTTTTTGTTTGATGGACATCGAAACATGCTCTCGCTTTGTAGATCCTTTGGCAGCTCCAGAATCAGAAATTCTTTTTGACATAATCGAAAGTTCAAGCTCACTTTTATAAAATTGCTCTAACAGTCTGCAAAAAATAATAAGCCAGATCCAATTAACAACGCAATCTGCAACATGAACTGAAATAGATAATTTTAGCCTAGCTTATACCATCCATTATATATTAAACATGCATGCGTAAACGCATAATGGGTTTATGCATGCGCAGAAAGTTTGTAGCTTTGAGGTCCGGGTTATAGATCATTCCGGATTATGGACGTCCGGATTTTGACTGTCCGGATTTGTATAACAAAACAGTGCTAAGGTTACAGTTGATCTGGAAGTTGAACTTCCCACCTTTCCTTCTGGTGCACACAGAAGAAAAGGTAAATTTTTAAGACGATCTTCCACCTTAAAATCAGCTTCCCAACTTTTCTTATCATAATACAATTTTTGTTTTACACAGGCCATATCTGAATTACTATTTGCCTCATCCATTAATTTCTGGATGATCTGCCAGTTTAAATTCTGCAGACCTTCTTTCCACGAAAAAAAGTTTATTGAGGGGCATAATGAACTTTCTGCCAAGAAATAATTCAGTAGCTGTTCTTTAATGTAAATGCCAGCTCATTGATGAGGCTATCTCAGCATTGGGGATAATTTCTTACACAGCCTGCAGATAATTTTAAATATATTTAACTGTCCTCTAGTATTTGACTGTGGTTGATAAGGGTCCATTTTAAAGTGTTTTAGGATAAGACCTGTATGCAGTTCCTCAAAAATTTGACTAACAAACTGGTTTTCATTATCTGAGATTTATTTAATTGGAACTCTGTAGTATAAATTTATTTGAAAAGAAGTCTGCAACAATTTTTGCAGAAGCTCTTTAGAGGGGAATTATTTCTACTCACTTCAAAAACTCATCAGCAATAACCTATTTTTATTTTCCCCCTATTGGGTAAGGACTTAAAAGGTAAATTCCTATTATGTCATTAAGAAATACAGCTTTTATGCTATTTAGGGACTTAGCTGGGCTATAATTGATATCGTTAACTAACTGACAAATTTTACAGGACTTGACATATTTAGTTACAATTTTTTGTAGCTTTGGAAAATAAACAGCTTCCCTTACTCTCTGGACTATTTTTCTTATTCTGAAATGCCCTGATATTGGTGCATCAATTCATGTAAAATATTTAGTTGTAATTCATTATTAGCCCAAAGGAGCATTAGCCCAGAAGGGCTATTAGTCTCGAAGTGGCATTTTGCATCAAATCACTATAAATGGCTATATCACTTTTCAAATTGTTTTCCCCAAATATGATCACCCTTATTTAAATAAATTAAGTAATGAAGAATCTGCATGAATGTATGTATGTTTCTCACACTGTGAGAAAAACAACAATACCTAGTGCCATCAAATTTTGAATAAGGTTACCCTCCACCCAAGTATATACACCTTGAAGCACAAATCTTGAATTTCAAATTTGTTTTATTACCTATTTCATGTTTTTTAATGAAGTTTTAATTAAGATACTCAACAATTTCAAAATGAGCAGTGGCAACACAATGTATGGAATAAAATAATTTAACTCCCAGTGCACAACACTGTCTATCAAAAATTCTAAAGATATGCTGTTTAAATATTTTGAGCACTAAGGGGCCAATAATTAAGCCGAAAATAATAATAACAATAATAATTTTTAGCCCAGATGCTCTCGAAATGTATATATATGTGTAAATGAAAAAAAAAAAAAAAAAATTGCCCTTTGAGCATAATATAAAATTTGAATTTTTTAAATTTATTATTTGTTGATTTGGTATAGAATAAAAGATTATCAATAATTAAATAATTAGCAGCATCCATGTATCTTCCTGTATCTATGTCGATCTCTGATCTCTCATCTACTTCAAAAAATTACAAGACAGAGTTTGGATTAATGACAGTTTAGTTTTTCAAAAGTTGTGTTAGTTTCTGTCGACCAAGATAATCTAGCCTTGTTTAGTTTCAATAGGAGGTTTGCTAATTGACCAAAGTCCTTAATTTAATGAAAGTTTTATAATAAGAGTACAAGCCCAAAAATGATGTCCATTTCTTTGCTGCGTTTAGTATTTGATAATTTTTCATCACTGCAGTTTTATAATCTTCCATTTCAGTCACCCTCAGACTTTGTATAGTCCAGGTACTGGAGTTCTTTGAGTGTGAATTTACATTTTGCTGCCTTTACTTTTTAATCTGTTTCTTTAAAAGTGAAAAAACAGTTCTTGCAAATATTGAATGTTTTCATCAATTCTGTCACTTGTGGCTATTATATCATCTAAATAGATAAAAATTGATTTTTTGAGGACAAGTTATAGAATTATTAGGTTCCTCATTGGTCTAAGGAAGACATATTCTCCTGATTTTGTAATAAATGTGATTTTTGGAATGTCCTCTGGTTTCACATCTCAGAATGTCCAGACTTAGGGTCTAGCATCATCATGTATATCGTGGATTTAATTTTTCTCATTATTTCCTCAATTATTGGTAATTGGTAAACCAGATATTTTGTTGTGCTATTTAGTTTCCTGTAGTCAATAGCTAAATAATATGATTTAAAATTGGTGGGTGGGATATTATTTTTCTTTTGGCATAGTACTAGAGAATTAGAATAGGGACTATTTATGTGGATTTTAATTTTGTTTCTTACTATTTCTGGAATATGCTTTTCTATTATTTCCTCATTTACTTTGTCGTGCTGCGGTAGTGTTTTGTTCTACACTGGGGAGAGGGGTGCTTCCTGTTTTAGACTTTGCTTTTTCTTCCAGCTTTTTTTTCTGTACTTCTTTCTCCACCAGCTTGTTCTTATCTAGCTATAGCTCACGAGCAGCTGAGTGGTAAATTCGCTGAACATTGGTAGTTTGGTGTAGTGTTTGAATCCCATTGAACGGGCTGGCTGCTTGGGTGTTTTTGTGTTTCCGTAATGTGCATACAAGCCAATTTCACTTAGAAAGCCCTCTAAGAAATCATTCCTTCCCTTAAGAAGATTGCCCTCAAGACCTTTACAAATAAATAAATAGTCAAATAAACCAAATCAAACCAAACCACATCCAAATGCACCCTATCTTCTTGAAAATTAATTTTCACACCAGCAGGTTTAAAACAAAAATCCATTCCCAGTGTTACATTAGCCTGTAAATTTCTCACCAATAATAATAATTAAATGAAAAAATCTGAAAGTTTTCAGATTTTTATATTATGCCCTAAGAGTCATTTTTTAATGTTTTGTGTGTTATGCTTATTTATTAAATATCACATTCTTTGCTCTTAAACCATAAAATTCAATGTAACAGCAATATCACAAAATATTTAAAAAAAGCATATCTTTAGAATTTCCAATGTTTAAATGCTGGAAATAATTTCCCCCTCTGAGTACAGTGTTGCCTTTGCTCACTTTGAAATCTTTGAGTTTGTCAATCAAAAATTTGTTAAACTTTTACGAAACGTGAAATATATAATAAAACAAATTCCAAATTCTCTCTTCCAGATGGTCATATCCAAGTGCAGGACTGTGTTTCTAGGTACCATTGTTTTTTGACAATGCAAGAAACATACATACATTCATGTGAATTCTTCATTATTTAATTTCTTTAATGCAGGCTCTAATATTTGGTGGCAACAATTTGAAAACTGATAGTAGCTATTTTATACAATACAAAGTCTTTAATCCGGACTCATTGGGACTTCGGTGATTCTGGATTAGGGGTTTTTCCAGATAATAGGTCATCATTTTAAATCTGGTAAGATGGCATGCAGAAATTATAAAATTAAAAATATGAAACTGTAATTTATGAAATAAAGAGCAATTATGATCTAAAAGGTATCAAAATTTACAAAAAAAAAAAAAAAAAAAAAAAAGCTTAATATTTATTTGTTTACTTTATTAAACATTTCTTTCAATGTAAGTTGTTTGAGTTGCTTTGTTTTTTGTGCTAATACTTTGTCTTTAATTCTATAAACAGACATAATTTCTTGTTCAGTTCACTGTTCAAGTCCTGTAATTGTTGCGTCGAGAATACCGGCTAACTTGTGAATCGAAATTTTTTCGTTTTCAATAACCTCTGTTACTTTCTTCACTATTGG